TTACGACCGCGAAGCTTGCGATTGGTAAACTAAACTCGCAGAGTAATTTATTTATCGTTGATTGCTGTCTTCTGGCCAACGTGAGACATACACATGATATGTGGTAATCGAACAGTAAGAAGTTATTTTCAATCATCACAAGATATGAATTGAGAATGTAAACAAAACGGCTAAGCAGTCTCGTTTAAATGAAAGAAAAAAAAACATGAGACGTACTTGAGGAACTCTCCACTCATAGGCAGTGTAGGCGTATTGTTGTGCAAAATCGTCAGCCTTTAATCTAGCCGATACGTAGTTATCCAAATATCTCTGTGAGCCGGATATATATGAGCGCTGGTTTTCTAGACGCTACAAAACAAATATTAACGAATCTCGCTTTTTACAGCATAAGACACTTACGATTTAAAGTCTTTTCATACGTTACTTGCTGATGTTTTTATCGTTCAAATGAATGTGCCATTCAAGTTGACATTTCTTACAACATAACTTTTATCAAGAAGTTGGGAAAACCTTTGATGAGCCTAGTTTGATAAAGTATTTGTTTGTTTTGAGAAACATAGAACAGTTGCTATCAACTACGTGACAAGATATGATCTAAACGTATATCGGTGTGCCGTCTGTTCAGATTGTCAGTCGCTGAAAAAACGAGCACGGATATGTCCAGCTCAAACCCGGAACACGAATCCATTGAGCGTACCTGATTATTGAAGATCCTTTGCGTTTGAAGTTGATAGTAGGGTACATGAGAACTGTACGGAAGTGGCTCATAAGCGGATTTACGATAGAGCGGCTTCGTGAGTGACCGGTGAGTATCCTGCAAAAGCGCTCATCACCCCACAGACTTCCGGTCAAAATGGCTTATGGTGATCCATTTTTGTACTACTGATCAATCATCAAATTAAGATTGCAGTAGCAAATCTTTAGAGTTGACGAAATTTTGGTCAATAGATGCACATGCGTATGATTGAGTGCAGTGTTGAACTTACGATCCATTTGGCGACACTGTATGGTTTATTGTACCAGTCATAAATGTTCGGCTTGTAAACGGTAGATGACGGCAGGAAGCGTTCAGCTTGTCTGTAGTGCTGTGGAAGTGCTAAGGATGGTGCAAGTGAGGAAACGGATGAAGAGCGACGAATCGGATAGTCGTGTACTGCTTCCTGAACTTATGGAATGTTGCTCAATTGTTGAGTCTCATCACCAACAACGTATCAATTCAATGGTCAGATTGCTTATAATCACTTGTTCAGTGAAATGATCTCTTGAAATGATAGCAAAACGATATCAACTGATGAGGATGGAGGTGTCTATATAGCAGTTAAGAGATTCTATGAAAAGATAAATCAATTGCGGGATTATAAGTGATCATCGGTCATAAGATGCCTAATGAAATTACCCTTATATAGGTGAGATTTGTGTACGAGGCGGATCGTGCAAGACGTTTCGGTTTACTCCACACATTCGACATATACGTGTTATAAGTGGATTGAGGACGGGCCATTTCCATATATTTCCTGAAACGAGAACAATCTGAGAGCTGAAAAGCGAACATGAAATGAAACGGATTTTAAAGAATTCACATAAAAGAATACTTATTTGCGATTGTTTTCAAGTGGAAATTTGTCTAAATCCATCCAAAAGAAATTGCCGATCGCACTTACGATGTAGGATAGTCATTC